TATTTTTATTATAATAAAAATCAAAATCAACAAGCAGAGCTATACTACCAGTGGGCGGGCGGAGGAGGGAGTAGGATCAAAACGAGGGGGGTGGGAATTGTATGGGGACTATAACCAAGATGAAAATGCATACATTGTGCAAAAATGACAAATGATGTAAAAAATGTATACAATAAAAAAATACAAAAAAAAGAATCTTCACCATCCATTATAATTCACATAATAAGTAATAATGTTGGACTCTTCAAAAGCCACTAAGATATTAGAATTTCTATTAACAACAACCAAATTATTTTTAAAAGCTAGATACTTCTACATTCTGAACAATTTATTTTCTTAGCTCAGTGGTAAAACTGCCAGTATGTATAGGCCAAGGAGAGAAGAGGCATTTAGAAAAGGCTTGTAAGAGAAGCAACTGCCATCTGTTTGGCAGATTTAGTTATAGTGAAGATGTACGAAGGTGTCCCAGAGAGAAAAAAACATGGCATGGGAAACGATAGCGGGCACCTATGTAGCTCTACCTCTATAGCAACTACATATCTAGGTAACATGGTGCAGGTATTCATGAGTAGTGTTCATCTATCAGATACTGGTTATCCTTAAGGAAAGCAAGAGCAGCATTCAGCAATTCTTTTGCTGGTTTGTGAGTGTATGTACTCCTTGTTTTTGTATCCAGTCTTAGTGATATTCTGCTGGTTTTAAATTCATTCTCTGGTACACACCCATATTGAATAAATTTCTCCTGGTAACAAATACAATATATTAAATTCTAGTGATTTTCAATTCATAACCAGATACTCTCTGGCCTTCAAGTAGAAATGAACACATGCTCTAAAGTGAAAAAGTCTGAGCTCTCGTTTCTCTGCCACTTATTGTGTTATATTAAGGTAAATATCAACCTCACTTGTCTCAGTTGATTCATGAGAAAATAGACTTCATCTTCTCATCTCTAAACTCTTTCACATTATAAACTCTTGGCAGTGTGATTTACATGCAGCTGGGGAATCCTGGGACGAATCTCATTATTATTCCTCTCTCAAAAACAAGTTGTTATTTTGGCTTTCTGAGTTACCTCATCCACATTTCATAGGTCTACTACAAATCCATTCTCCCTGTCTTCTTACTAATTTTGCTTCCACTGTAAAATAATTTTACTGGTTAGACCAATACTCTGCAGATGAATAAACCATAGAAAAATAATTAGAGACTAAGTCATTGCTGAAAGGATAAAGTGTCAGGCTAAATTATAACTACTAACTTTGATGTTGGAAAAAGGAGAGTTTTCTCTTACTTCCTTTTCTCCAGTGATTCTGTTGCTATTTTCTAAAGAGATCGTGTGTTTTGAGATGGGGAAGGTGGTGGGAATTGAATACAAATCTATGAAATTTTTACAAACTCCATTATCATTGCATAAATTTATGATCAACCACCCAGTTTTAAAATATACAGAATCCTCATATTTGAAGAGAAGTTTAAAGAACATCAATTTTCTTAAATGGTTTGTTTTCTCTCAAAACTGAACATTTAAATTAAAAATATATGCCATATAACCCTTTAATAATATAGAGTATTTGAATTCAGCTTGTAGAATTTCCTATTTGAGACAAACCTCTAATGCAGAAAAACAATATAGTTATATGGTTAATTCCTTACCATTCATTTTATTTCATGCAATATCACATTCTAATATCAATCCTCTATTTCTCTTGATGACTCTCCTACAATGCATATTAAATCAATGAATGATTACATGCATGGGTGGTATAAATGATGCACTCTACCTAATTCAAAATCTAATAACCAAAAGTGGTTTCTATGTGAATTTTTTAAAAGATAGATTTAGACATAACATGGTGTTGTGTTCAGTATTCATTAGGGGAATAAATGGGCTTCTGAAGTTTTGTAAAGACAACTATTTCTGTTAAATCTTGGTAATGTTTTTGTTTTTAAGTTCTTAAACTATTGATTCAATACAACTGTTACTTAAGTTAATAATAATGTAATTGAAAATTACAATTAATGTAATTGAAGAATTCACACAATTAAATGGATGATTTAGTTGCAATGTTTTATTTGGTAAACATTATCCTGACTAATTTTCTATATTTGTCAATTCACAATAAAATTTTTCAAACTGATTTCCCCCTATAGATATCAACTATGCCAATGCATAGTTACATATTCACCATACTGACGTTTTTCTTTTTCAGATTTATTTATTTATGTATACAAAAACCAGGGTATAGGCCAGATGTGTAGGAGGGTGAGAGGATTCACCAGAAACAGAGCAGGGAACAGAAAAAGCAGACTGACTGAAATAGACTGCTGAGGGGAGCAGTGGGCGAGACAGGACAGGTCTGCCATGCCATGTGGGTATCTTGCCAGCCGTTAAGGATTGAACCCGCACTGCAGAATCTGAGGACAGCTTCACAGCGCTGTACTCAACCGCCTGTGCCACCAGGGGAGGCCCCGTACTGACTTTTAAACATAACATAATCTTTATACATTTACAATACCCCCCTTCCTGAAGTGAATAATAATGTTACTGTAACAGAACTAATAAAAATAGCAATAATGATATATAATGCTTGCTCTGCACCACATACTCTATAATAACTTTACATTGACATATTTAATCCTCCAAAAGACCAATGGAATAGGAATACTATTTGAGGTATAATAGAACTGGAGGTTAAAAAAGGAGGTGGGGGGCTGCCTTGGTAGTGCAAGGGTTAAAGTCAGCAATATCAAGCTATCACCAGTCACTGTGGCCAGCCAGGGAGCTGACCCACATGGTGCAGCAGACCTCTGCTATCTCACCCACTTTCCCCTCAGCAGTGTATTTCAGTAGATCCACCTGTTTTGCTACCCACTCTGTCTCTGGTGAGTCCTCTCACTCCCCACACCTCTGGCCTATACCCCAGCTTTTGTATGCATACATAAACATAAACCTTTTTTTAAAAAAGTGGGTTAAGGAATGTTTCATTTCTGAAAAGACAAATTTAGTAGGAAAGTAAACAAAAGTCACAAAAGTAGAGAAGGTAAAAAAGTATGAAAATCTGGTATTTGTTTGCAAAACTAAATATCCTGAAACACATAAACACTCTGCAAAGTTGGGGAAGGAAAAAAATGAAGGTATTGCAGGGAGAGGTGGTGTGCTTTGAAAATACAAGGTGAAAAGCAGGGACTTGTAAATTCCCTTTGCATAGCATGGGACAAAGGCACATATCTGTAAGTTCTAGGTAAGAAAAAGGCTTTTCTATATAAAAGCCAGAAGTCAGGTAACTCCTATGATGCCACAAAGCCCAAATGAGGAGAGGGCAAAGTACATATATGAAGACAGACCCATAGATACTCCATATCTATAATGGCATAGAATAAACAGTGAGATCTATGTTTCTCAGTGAGAGGTTCCACATGTATTGATAGAATACTGGACACCAGGCCTCCCTGGTGGCGCAAGGATTAAGATGCAACCTATGAAGCTATCCACAGCCACTACAGCACGAGTTCCATCCCCAGCCAAGAGCCACCCACATGGCGCAGCAGACCTCTCCTGACTCGCCCGCTGCTCCCCTCAGCAGTGTATTTAGGTCATTGTGCCTGTTCTGTTCCGCACTCTGCCTCTGGTGAATTTTCTCACCCGCCCCCCCCACGCCTCTGGCCTGTACCCCAGCTCTTGTATGCACAAAAAAAAAATACTAAAAAAAGAATACTGGACACCTCTTTGTAAAATATATAGTGATAGGAAAGAGAAAATACAGGTGTCACACTTATTCAGTGGGAGTTGAATGCCAACAATTAAATAAGAGTACATTTTTTGACTTCCCAACTGATTTTAGGTATGCATTCCTAAAACTATAAAAAAAAACTCTATTACTGCACATAGGTTAGTGACTGACATTCCTACATTCATGTATAGATGAAAAAATGCTCTCTTGAGAACAACACTGCTAAAATGAGTGAACCAAAGCTTTACCTGTGTAACCACAATACTTGATGGAATTAACTTTTGAAGGTTTACATATAGAAAAATGAAACTGGATTGCTATCTTAACCCTATGTTATACCACTACAAAAATTAACTCAAAAATTAAATAAAGACTTAAAAGTAAGACCTGATACTTTCAAAGTTCTTTCAACAAACTTAAAATATAATCTATGGAAAGGGAGAAAGTATTTGTAAACTACATATCAGTGGTTGAGATCGCAAATATGCAAAAAAAAAAAAAAAAACCAACTTGCACAATTAATGGAAATAGAAAAAATGATTTAAAAGTAGGCATACTTTTTCCCCAAAGAAGACATCCAAATAGCCAACAGGCACATGAAAAGATGTTCAATATCACTAATCATCAGAGAAAAGCAAATCAAAAACACAAACAGACATCATTTCATATATGTTAGGATGTTTATCATCTAGAAGATAAAACAGCAAATATTGATGAGGGCATGGAGTAAAAGGAATACTTGCACACTGTTAGTGGGAATGTATATTTGTGCAGCCACTCTGGAAAACAGAATGGAGATTCCTAAAAATAAAAACTAGAACTACCATATGATACAACAATTTTCATATCTGGATATATATAGTCACAGAAAATGTGAAAAGAATATTAAAGACATTTATGAATAGCAAAACTGAGGCTTCCTACAAGTCAGGAAAGAGGCTTCACCAGAAAACAATTATGCTGACAAGCGAATCTCACTCTTCAAGCCTCCAGAAATCTAAGAAAATAAATATCTGTTGTTCAAGTCACCCAGTCTGTGATATTTTGTTATGGCAGTGTGAACAACTATAATATACAGAATTATAATAGTTTCTCTCATCCAAAGTTTTGCCTTCTGTGGTATTAAGTTAGTGTCTTTGTTTGGGTTGCTATAATAAATTATAAACCAAGTGGCTTACAAGCAACAGGAATTTACTCACAGTTTAGGAGGCTGAAGTCTAATATCATGGTACTGGCATAGTTAGCCTTTCAGGAGAGCCTTCTTCCAGATTGCAGACTTTCAACTTTTCCATGTATCCTCACATGATGGAGAGAAGAGAGGAATCAAGCTTTCCAGAGACTATTATTAGGGCACTAATTCCATTCATGAGGTATCCACCTTATGACATTATCTAATTCTTTATCACCACCTAAAGGCCCTACTTCTTAACACCATCACACCGAGAAAAGGGTTTTTTGTTTTTTTTTTTTTAAAGATTTATTTATTTAATTATTTATACAAGCACTGGGCACAGTCAGAAGTGCGGGAGGGTGAGAGAATTCACCAGAGCCAGAGCGGGGAGCAGAGCAGGCAGAAGGACCGAAGTACACTGCTGAGGGGAGCAGCGGGCGGCAGGAGAGGTCTACGAGCCATGTGGGACCCTCCCCAGTGGCCGGGGATCGAACCGGCGCAGCGGAGGCTGCGGGCAGCCTCGCAGCCCAGCGCTCAACCGCTGCACCACCGGGGAGGCCCCGAGAAAAGGGTTTTTAACATGAATTTGGAGGGGATGAAAATAGTCAGTTCTTAACAGTTGGTCAGGAAAAATTAGGCAGTTAAGGATTATAGAAACAAATAGAACATATCTTTGGTATGTTTTCAACAGTTTTGTATCCTATTTTAATAAAACTCCATAGTCAATCTAATGAGCACTTCCTATTGAAAACCACTGCCCTACAAGTAGATACTAGGTTCAAATTAAAGAGCTAAAGTTGAAAACAATTTGATGTTTTAAAAAGAATAGCTAAAATTATGATTAATGACATTCTGACATTCTGATGTTGTTGCCTGCTATCACTCAGGAAAAGCACCACTAGTACTCAGTAAATAGAAAGATCATGGAGGGCCTCCCCTGGTGGCTCAGTGGTTGAGCACTGGGCTGCGAAGCTGCCCTCTGCAGAACCAGTTCTATTCCCGGCTGCCAGCGAGGGTCCCACATGGTGCGCAGACCTCTCCTGCAGCGCCCGCTGCTCCCCTCCACAGTGTATTTAGTTGGTCTGCCTGTTCTGTTCCCCGCTCTGGCTCTGATGAATTCTCTTGCCCTCCAGTGCTTCTGACTGTACCCAGTACTTGCATAAATAAATAAATAAATCTTTCAAAAAAGAAAAAGAAAGAAAGGAGGGATGGAGGAAGGGAGGAAGGAAGGAAGGAAGATCATGGAGAGGAAAGTCATTAAAAAATCTAAGACTTTCCCATAGAGCATACATTGGCTTTATAACATTATACTTCTGCAAATTTAAACAAGGTAAGGCTAAGAATCTCTTGAGAATTGACAATTCTAGGGAAAAAATCAAGAGCAACTTAACAAATAAACCTACTTATTTTTAGCACATCCCTTTATGATGTGAGAGTATACAAATCATGATATTTTCCAGTGCCTTCGGAGAAAACTCAAAGAGAGCTTTGGGTATAAAAAATGTCCTGAGATTTTTACTTTAAGTTCTACTGAATATACAGTTTAATTTTAGAAATGCAAAGTAAAAAAAAAAAAAAAAAAAAAAAGGTGCCTGAGAAGATTTGGCATGTGATTATGTAGGATCATGGTTTATTTAGAAATAAACTTGGTTTTCTATTTCTTCAAAGTGATAATTAAATATTCCAAAATAAAACAGAGGAGGTAATAATATTGTAAAAAGTCATTTGTTTCAAAAATGAGAAAACTCTGTTCTCAGATATGTAGAGACATAACAAAAAGTCATTGTAAAGCATAAAAAAATTTCCTGGTAAAACACAGAATCTTAATCTAAATAGATTATATATAGGGTAAAGAGAAATTTTATAACATCTTATTAAGAGCAGATAAATATCATAAGATAATGTCAATTTAACAGGGAGGATAACACATTCTAATTTTGCATCAACATAATAATTGAACCCAAGTAATCACAGCTCTTTATGGAAAAATATTAAGAATAAACCCATCAAAATTTTAGCCAACTTTGACCATAGCAAATGAATTTTTTTTCTCTGCAAATCTATAGCTTTCCTTACTGACTCAGGTTTTGTCTTTCACCTTCTTCTTACTCAGGGGCAATCAGTCATTTTTCTTTCCTACAAAACTATTCTTTCTTTACGCTCTTAAACATCTTGTATACGTTCACACAGTTATTTTTCTCCACCAATGTTACTCCTAGCATTGACTCATTTACATATACCAATTCATACTTCTAACCAAAATGACTATTTCACAAAGCAATCTAAAGTTTGGTTAATTTTGGACTTTCATATATCAGTATTTATATCAGATTAACAAAGTTTGTGGATATGTATCCAATATTTTCTATAGCCAGATATATCTCTTACATTATGAAACTTCTCAAATTGACAGAAATGAACAAGTTTATTTACAGATCCAAATACATAGCTGTCCTTACCATAAATACAAATAGTAAAATTAAATAAAATTGTACCTAGACTTAATGCTTCAGTATTCTATTTTACTTAGAAATGACCAATATATTAATAGATGCCATTAATTTAATGTTAGTCTATGATTTTATGCTTACTAAAACTCTTAGAACTTGTCTTCATGCTTATATATTAAAAACATAATATTGACATGGTTTGAGATTAATGTGAATGGCAATTCAATTTGATTAAATGCAAATATACTTTATCTTATATATATATATATATATATTTTTAAAGATTTATTTATACATACAAGAGCTGGGGTACAGGCCAGAGGTGCGGGGGTGAGAGGATTCACCAGAAACAGAGTGGGGAACAGAACAGGCAGATTAACTGAAATACACTGCTGAGGGGAGCAGCAGGCGAGGCAGGAGAGGTCTGCTGCGCCATGTGGGTAGCTCGCTGGCCGGGGATCGAACTAGTGGTGCAGTGGCTGTGGATAGCTTCATAGGCTGCGTCTTAACCTCTTGTGCACCAGAGAGGCCCTATCTTATATTTTTAAACACTACATAGGAGTTGGTTAGCAAAAATATTTCCATGTAGATACAAATGTATGCTAGTACTATATACAATATTGATAACATAGCTGTTTTCATTAAACCAAAAATTACTAAACAAATCCATGTCACCAAAATTTCACCTAAAATATGTGAATTTGGATTCTTAAAATGTTTGAGTTATTTTTAATTAATACTCTCCTAGCGCAATGAAACTATTATGTTTGATTTTTCTATTTTCTGTGAAATTTTGTAATATTCTTATATTAGCATGTAATCACCCACACACACACACAAAAAAAATGAATCTGAATAGAGCTAGATTCTTAAGATTCTTTTTAATCTAGTTAATAACTATCATCAGTCAGTAGGGATACTTTACACACCCACACAGAGGCTAATAACTTTCTAATTTATCAATTCAAAAAGAGACAGAAAGAGGGAAAGAAATCTTACTGCTTCAATACTAAATTTCAGTTGTGAGTCAAGTGTGAACACAAAACTCAACAGTAGCTTAGTTTTGTAAGTGAGTGAATCAAGATATACACTTTTTGATGGGCATTAATTTCTCAATTTTCTAGATCAAAAGTTAAAATGAGTCAAATTGAAAAAAACTACAAAAGAATATTCTGTCATTTTTAAGCATCAGAGAATAGAACTATGTAAACAATTTACAGAGGTCATCTAGTGACAGGGTCTATAAACAAATTCTACATTGTAAAAATTTGTTGGATTTTAACAAGATAAATAATATAATTATTAAGGTTTAAATTTAAAATTTGAAAAATAGGGAGTCGGTGAAATCCCATTGCTATCTTAGATTGACCTCTAGAAACTAAGAAAAGATGCATTTGATTTTATACTGAGGAGGTTCACTTCCCTGCTAACAATGGTTACAAGTAGGTGGATCCATTAGGCATCTCAATGAAAGACTTCTAAAACTGCTAAAAGATACTGTTCAGAAAAGAATAGAATAATGAAAATTAGCAAGTGTTAAAGACTGAGGTTTGTGTATGTGATGCGAATGAATAAGCAGATGCCATGAAATGTTCAAAGGCAAACTGAAGCACAATGTATATGGATTAAAGGAACTACTGAAATGAGTTGCAAATTTATTAACTTCCTTAAGACCTAGCATCCCCTGTGCTGCTAATTCTTTTACAACTGATTTGATTCAGTCTAATTGAGCTCTTGACACTAGATATTGTTTATACATGGCCATAGCTTATCCTCTTAATAAGTTATTTTATTGTCTCAATATCTGTAATTAAACCTGTACTATAACTTCCGATGGTCCCAAATGATGTTTCAGCTCAGACTGCATGACAGAATAGAGTGAGATTATTACTCTATTGTAATCAAGTCCCTTTTACTAAAAAAGGCACATAGTACCCAAATCAAGCAATAATGTTCCTGAATTCTGAATATGGAGCTTTCATTTGCACAGTAGGTCTTTCCTCAACATACAGAAGAATTTATGAAAACATGTCTGTTTTTTAGAGATCCAACCTATCTGTTTATAGAAACCATGGTAAAAGAGGAATATAAGCAGAATCTTAATAAGAAATACAAACTTGTATTGATCTGCATCAAGATAGAAAAAGGTAGAAACTGCTATGGAAATTGAAGAGTGTGAGTATTAATCAGAAAGGGCAAAGAAAGTTGAACATGACTAAAAGTTACTGAAATATAGGGTTCAGCATTTTTGCCTCCAAGACTTTCTTTCCCAAACTGTCAATTTTGAGCCACATTCCCAGTATTTCCTACTTGTTACTCTGTCTCTAGACTTTCCTGCTTCCCTTGTTCCAGAAATTTCTGTCTCTTCTTTCTATAATCTCTTCTAAAATCCTGGCTTCTTACATTGGTGATACACAGATTTTTCCTTTTCCTTCTTTCCTTTCATCTGTTGACCAGTGTAAAGGTTATTTATATTAGCAATCACATTGTTTTTCCTACACTTTCACTAACTTGAGTTAGGAAGAGTAGGCAAGAACTGAAAGAAAAGTAGACAAAACCAGAGGAAAGTTTTTATCTGTTCCTAAATTCTTTCCTGTTAAGTCTGAGAAAGTTTCAACAGCCACAGATGAAAACAAGCGAGGGCCTCCCCTGATTTCTGAGTATAACGGTGAACGC